AGAAGGCCTCTGATTCTATAGCCTTCAGGGTCTCAGATGACATCGTGTGTGTGTATGAGTGTGTGTGTGTGTGAGTGTGTGTATGAGTGTGTGTGTGTATGTGTGTGTGAGTGTGTGTATGAGTGTGTGTGAGTGTGTGTGTATGTGTGTGTATGTGTGTATGAGTGTGTGGTGAGTGTGTATGTGTGTGTGTGAGTGTGTGTGTGTGAGTGTGTGTATGTGTGTATGAGTGTGTGTGTGAGAGTGTGTGTGAGTGTGTGTATGTGTGTGTGTATGAGTGTGTGTGTGAGTGTGTGTATGAGTGTGTGTGAGTGTGTGGTGAATGTGTGTGTATGAGTGTGTGTGAGTGTGTGTATGTGTGTATGAGTGTGTGTGTGAGTGTGAGTGTGTGTATGAGTGTGTGTGAGTGTGTATGAGTGTGTGTATGAGTGTGTGTGAGTGTGTATGAGTGTGTGTATGAGTGTGTGTGTGTATGTGTGTGTGTATGTGTGTGGTGAGTGTGTGTGTGTATGTGTGTGTGTGTGTGTGTGCGTTGGGGGACAGCATGGGCAGCTGGCAGGGAAAGGGGCAGGGAAGTCAGCACTGAAGCTGCCCTTGGTATCCTAGCTGCTGAGGACCTTCCAGAGCCCACTTTCTGCACAGTGCTGGGCCACTGAGGGTCTGGGTTTGAGGTTGAGCTGGAGCCTAAGGAGGAGGGAAAGAGGGTTTGCCCTGGAGAAACGGAGACTGTTGGGCTTTGCTGGGAGCCAGGACACCTGGCTACAAGTGTTATCACTGAGTCTGGGTCACCTCGGGTGTGACATGGGAGCCCGCTGCCCGAGCCTGACTCGCAGGGGCCTTTCAGAAGGCAACCCTGGAGAGAGGCAGGAGCAAGTGGCAGTGTACCTACTGTGTGTCCCTACTATGTGCCAGGGTTAGGGATAGATGCTTTGAGTTCATCACATCCTCACAGCTGCAAAGCTTGAAAGGACCTAGCCTGGGATTTAGAAGAAGGTTTCTTTGGGACCGAAGCCTGTTTTGTTTTTTCTGCTACTGAATGAGTATAAGGTGATAGTGTGTCCATAACACAGATGGGAGAACTGAGGCCCAGAACATCACGTGTCTAATAAGGAGACTGATGTCTAGCTGTCTACCAGAGAGACTGACTGCCTCTGGGGAAGCCAGAGGAGAGCAACTGGGATTTGTTCATCCTAGTGTTCTAGGATTCGATTGGCTTAGATTAGATAGCTCAGTGTCTGAATCCTGTAGACACTCAAATTGAGCAAAATGCTCCCCCAGGCCCTGGGGTGAGGTTTGGTCATGGGGAACCTGGCTCATAGCTGGTGATTGGGTCTCCGGTGATGCTGCTGAGATTCACATGGCAAAGCAAGGTGGCAGGGAGGATTGCTTAGAATCAAGCCCTACGCTCCACCCAGGTCTTAGAGGTAAAAGCTGGAGCTGAGCTGCTGCCCTTGGTAGCGGAGGGACCTGCCATCTGCATTTACTCTTCTGGGCCTCAGTTTCTTCTGTGACTCGAGGGCAGGGATAAGGCAGGGCTGAATGATATCACCCCCATGAGGTCTCAGGCCCAGCAGAGTCTGCCTGCACGAGAAGGACTTGGGAAACAATAGTCAACGCTTCCTTATATACTATTATTACCATTATTTCTGTGTCCCCTTCCCTGCTTTGCAGTGCGGAAACAGGAAATTATAAAAGTGACAGAGCAGCTGATTGAAGCCATAAGCAATGGAGATTTTGAGTCCTACACGTGAGTCAGCTGGGCTCATTCTGCATGTTCTGTCTGAATGGCGTTCAGGGGGTACTGATGGCTAACTTTGGGGGTCTTCTTTGCTGACCCTTGTGTAACTGGCTCTGCATGCGCTGTGAATAAGACTAAAGTCACATTTCTGTTCTGCGCTCAGACTTTGTGCTTCTATCGAGCTTTCTGCTCACAACTGTTCTTCAGATCCAGTCCTCCCCTCCTGTTCCCCCTAGCAGCTCAATCCCTGGAGGACCCTCAACTCAACTTCGATTCCTTCCCATCCCAGTATGGGAAGGAGGGGAGACAGACAGGTCACTCCTCGGGCCTGCCTAGTGGACCTGGGTCTCACCCTGCACCTTCTCCAGCTTCGGAGCTCAGCTGGGCACAGGAGCAGACGAGGACCCAGAAAGTTGTAGTTTCAGTGAGAAATCAGGAGAAAAAGTATCTCAAATCAGTACCTTAAGTCCTCGGAAGAGTAAGGCAACTGGCGTGCAAATAGCAGAAAAATGAAGTTGGTAGTTGGAGACTTCTCTCCTACACCTGTGCCCGCTCGCAGTGCTGTGTTCCACCGGCTTGGCTGCAGCGCCCCCTGATGGTCACTCATCACCTTTTCTGGTTTGGCCTAGAAGCGGGCGGTCAGTAGACCCCAGGGAGAAGGCATTATTCTGGTTTTAGGCCTTGGCATGTGGGCCAGTCCTGACAAGACCTGGGCCTCGTGATCCCATCTATGCAGCTTGGTAGACACAGGCTAGAGGACCCTTACTTGTTGGGTTAAGGTAAGATGGCCAGGAGGCAGGGCTCTGGGGCAGCAGATCTGCAGTCTGCCTCCCAAAAGCTTGGTAGGCCCCGTGCATTCTAGCCATGGGAGGGTTTTAGCTACTGTAGCTGGCAAAGCCTAGAGATTCACTGGTTCTCTTGAGAGGAGCAAGGCCCTTGGAAGATGCACGTGTAACCCTGTGGTTGGCATGTCCTATGCAAATGTGGGTGCATGCACTTGTACATGTGTGTGCACGGTCATGACTGTGTGCACCAGGAGTGTGCACAGATGTGTGCTGGGGTGTGGCATAAAAGCATGGGAGTTCTAGCAAAGCTAAGTTGGGATGTATCCTGCTGATGGCTTTGAAAAAGCACAGTCAGGGAGCCAGAGAAACTGAGGTGGGCCTAAGCCTCCTGTGCCATTTCTGAGGACCTCTCCCACCTCTATAACGCTACTTCCTCAGAAATTGTAGCCTGCTGTAGGTTCTTACCCTGGCTACGATCTCTCAGGCTCATGGTACCCTAGAGCCCAGCCCTTGCATCTATGAAAAAGCCCCTTCCTCTCACAGAGCCCTGAGTTTGCCATAGATAACGACTCAATTAGAGCAGAGAGTTCTGAGACCCTAAACTTTAGGAGACAGGAATACCCAGACAGCAAACAGAGTTTCTACAGGGAGGCTCTGCCCTCTGCCTGTCAGCACTCACACCCCACACCTTTAGAGGAGTCTGGATCGGAAATGGTCCTGAACACCCCCAATTCGCTTGAGCACAGCCCCTAATCCTTGGCTTAATACACCTATAGAATTTGGGGTCCTGAGTAGAGAAGCAAGTTGCATGGGGCCACCCTGTAAAGCTTTTGTCCAGCTCAGATGTTGCTGAGCTTGACAACCTCATTGTGGTGTCTCTAGTTCCACTCTTGGTCGAGGGCTTGGCCTGTCCAGAGGCATTTCCTGTCCCTGGCTTCATTGCCCGGGACACAAACAACCCAGTAAATCTAGGCTTGGGGAAATAATTTGCTTCCTTCTCCTGCCTGCCTGTCACAGTCATCCCTCTAGGTACTCACCTGGCTTGGGGAATAAAAGAGATTCTTGTGGAAAGGAAAAAGGCAATTCCACCCCCAAAACACTCCTCTGGAGCCACTGACTTGAGTCAAGACACAAGATAGCTTAGAGAGCAGGCTTCCACTCATCCCTGCAGGCACCTGTACTGCACATATGATCCCACATGCCCAGGCCGGCACTCTTGCTTCAAGAGATGAAACTGCATACTTAGGATCTCATAGGAAGTGGCAGAGCCAAGTCCTGAACCTGTGCTTCTGGATCTAGCGGGCACCAGCAAGTCAGCATCATCCTGTACTTGACAGGGTGCAAAGCTTTTTCCCCACCAACCTCCTCCATCCTTGAGGCAGGCCTGACTGTTCTCTCTCGTGGGCTCACCCTCTATGGGTGCAGTTACAAGCCACCCAGTCCTGTCTTTCCTCTGGCTTCCTTTCCCCCAGGAAGATGTGTGACCCGGGAATGACGGCCTTCGAACCCGAGGCCCTGGGCAACCTGGTGGAGGGCCTGGACTTCCATCGATTCTATTTTGAAAACCGTGAGCAACCCCTTCTCTCTGGGTACCTGTTGTCTGCTCTCTGTTCCATGTCCTGCCAATGGCACAGCAGAGTGACGGGCAAGTCCCCAGGGGTAGCTCAGGAGCCAATGAAGAAGAAGATCCCATGTGCACAGGGGTTGGTACCTTCTTGGTTCCTTCTTTTAACTCTGGCTCATCAGCTGCCAACCAGGCTTCCACAGCGCCTCCTGAGATGGAGGCTGAGGCAGGGCAGGCAGGTGGGTCCCCCCCCGAAACGGGATAGATCTGATCATTTCTTCCAGGTTCAAACTCACGAACCTCCTGCTTTCGACTTATGAGTGCTGTGATTACAGGAGAAGGCCACCACATCTGGCTCTTACTCTCTTTTTATAGACAATGGAGCCTTCCTACTGGCTCACACCACAAACTGAAGTCATCTGGATGCCTGGACCATCCCCATCTGCCCAGCAGGTCACTAGCTGGCTCCTGGGTTGTTACACACTTCCTTACATAGGCGGGCAGTTTGGGAAAGCGTGGGACAGCAAGTTCACTCTGCGGTGCCCCTGCTGTGTGTCTAGATCTCTGTTTTGCATGTCTGTCCTTCCTGTGTCTCTCCTCTGCAGGAGAGACCTCAGTAGCTTTGTAACCCATGGCTGTCAGGGTGTCAAGGCTCGGCCTAATAGAGAGTGCCTTTTGCCTGTCTGTGTCTCACTCAGGCCAAGGTACACTGGCTAGAATTCACTTAGGATTTGGAGGAAGGAGCTGAGAGGTATAGGCAGGACCCACAGATGAAGGGCACACACCACTGGGCTACGTACCATGATTTCAGGTGATACTGACGCCACTTCCAACATAGGCTCACACGGTGAGAGAGCTACTCCAGTTTAATCCTCTTTGAATACTCTGACCTCATTAAAGGGAAAGGGCAAGTTGAGTGTCCACACTTTCTAATTTCTCTCTTAATCAACGTCCCAAAGATTATATCACTTTATTTTCTACACTTATTATTAACTTTTCATTCTGTGATACTGATTGTCCATAAGTGATTGCATTAGAAAGTTTTCTTTTGTGTGTGTGTTTGTGCACCAGTTCTGGGGCTTGAACTCAGGGCTTGGGCACTGTCCTAAGTGGTAGGCTAGTGCTCTACTAGTTAAGCCACAGCTCCACTTCCAGCACTGTTACAGTTTATTGGAGATAAGAGTCTCATAGAGTTTCCTGCCTGGGCTGGCTTTGAACCTTGCTTCTCAGATCGTTGCCTCCTGAGTAGCTAGGATTACAGGTATGAGCCACCAGCACCTGACTTAGAAACTTTTCTTTTACACTTAGCATTCAATTATTAGTAGAATGAGTCAATCAGGGACATATTTTCATAACAGAACTTCAGGTGGCACTTGTATGGTGAAAATAATGAAGGTGGTACCTCTGTGACTGAAGATCCAGTTTGACTCTGTCACTCAGAAGGGAAACTGAGGCTCAGAGAGAGGATGTGACTTGTCCAAAAGAATCCAGACAGCCAGTGGCAGAACCCAGCCCTAATGCACTCCCACACCCTTCAGTTGTGGGGGTGACCTGCCCAGTCTGTCCCCACTGGGGCAAGCACCCTAGGGACTAACACCCTACACTTGATCTGCACCTCTCTGGCTTAACTGTATATGGTACAGAGACTCCAGGGAACTCCCAAATTTTTTTAAAGAAAGGCTGTGAATATTAAAAAAAAAAGCTATAAGTTCTTAAGGAATCAAACTGATTCACTATAACTAGCAATGGTGATTGAATTCTCACACGGAGAGACCACCTGCAGGTCACTATGGCTGCCTCTGCCCTCTGGTGGAGGGGGAACTGGTTTTCCAGTTTAAATCCTCCAATAAACCCTCCAATCCCCTTCACCCCAAGCATCAGGTCAAAGCTCAACTCCAAAGCTATAGATGACCACAAGCACTAAACACAGGTCAAAGCTCAACTCCAAAGGTATAGATGACCACAAGCACTAAACACAGACCCCCCACACACACACAGCCTGCCTCAGGTAGTGACCCCATTCTAGCACTGGCTCCTGGACTCCCTAGTCACCTCCAAGGCAGGAGACAAGACCCAGAGGAAGCGCTCACTCTGAACAGAGCATTCCTTCCCAGCTGCCACTTCTTCAGAGGGCCTGACCCCACCCATCTTCTGCCCTGTCCTTGAGGGTGGACCCTGAAAGCCACTCATCTTGTAGAGAGACATGGAATTGATGTGGCATCCTGGAGGATTCCAGCCCTTAACAATACCCAGTGAGGCCTATGCTCCCATGCAATGCTAAGCTGGTTGTTTCTTCTGATTGCTCTGGGATGCCCTAATCCAGTTCCACCAAGAGCACGACTTCTTTTAGGTTTCATTGCATTTCTTTCAGAAAATGGACACAACTTAAATAAGCCAAGTCAGATGTCTTCTCTGGGCCTCAGTTTCCAGATCCAGCTAAACAGATGCATTGAAATAGGTGGACTTGTGTGTCTCCAGCCCTGTTTGCTATCAGGGACAGTTATGAAAGTCTCCTTGCATTTTATAGGAGGGCTACTTGGTGACCTTTGACCTCCAAGGTTATTCCCAAGGCTTTGGAATGAAAGGTCAACATTCTACAAGTCTGACTGCCCAGAATTCTAAGCCTGTTATCCTGTTTGTCTAAGACTTAGGATTTTGATTGCTTATCCCAAGCTGGGGAATAGCATGATTCGAATATTAGAATGTATATTACTGGATGCCTTCTTCAGTCCAGAGGATAAAAATATATATTTGACTTTTTTCAGGTAATAAGTGGCTCACATCAGAATCAGGGAGTTGAGGAAGGGAAGGGTGGAGGTGAGACCTGCACTTTAAGTAAGCTATCTACAGGATCCGACACTTAAAGGGAAGGCTTCAGCTCCAGTTAGAGATAAGAAGTCTAACTCTTACCTGCCTAGGTCATTTGTTGTCTCCTGTGCTTTTGTTTTCTATCTTGATGATTGGGTTTCTGGAACCACGGTTAACATAGAATTAATAATAAAAAGGGAAGATTCATTGTTTATATAATGGGAGCAGTTTCAGGGAATTTGATCAGTTCTGTCACGGTTACAAGATCTATGAACTTCCCTCTCACTCCCTGAGCACAAACAGCATCCTAAAAGCTAACAGTCCTATGCCTACTGTTCTAATATTCCCCAGGTTTCTAGCTTCTGGTCTGTCACCAGTAGAGTTGACAGGTGAGGCAGGGGCCCTGGGCCATGTCTGAACTACCCATGTCTCATGTGCACTTAAGGATGTATTACATTTGAGTCATCTTCCTAGCAAAAAAAAAAAATGAAGAATGCTCACATTAAGACTCTGATGCCAAGATTTGCTTGAGAAACCCAGTGGAATGGGTCTCATTTATTCGCGTAATCGCTAAGTCCAGGCAGAAGCTGTGGGCGAGGAGTTCTCTTCACCACCCTCCGTATCATAAGGAGCCAGGGAATGAATAGTCTAGCGTCTTAGAGCCAGGCCTGCCTCCTTGTTTACATACCTGGGATCTGGGTTTGAGACACACCTAGTCCACCCGGGACTATACACATCTTGGCCCCATATTTATATCCGTCTAAGAGGCTTTGGTTTTAAAGTGTGAAAGGCTGGGCCTGTCTGAAATATCCATTATGGCTCAGCTGGGACTTCATGTCCCCATTACCAGCAGTTCTACCTTGGCTCCCAGGTAGCTGAGTCTCCTGTGAGGAGCAACCTGGGGAGCCCACCCCCCTCCAACTGCATCTCCTCTGCCCCTCCCACCCGCCTCCAGTGTGGTCCCGGAACAGCAAGCCTGTGCACACCACCATCCTGAACCCCCACATCCACCTGATGGGTGACGAGTCGGCCTGTATCGCCTACATCCGCATCACGCAGTACCTGGACGCAGGCGGCATCCCGCGCACCGCGCAGTCGGAGGAGACCCGCGTCTGGCACCGCCGGGATGGCAAATGGCAGATCGTCCACTTCCACAGATCCGGGGCGCCCTCGGTCCTGCCCCAGTAAGAGTCCCTCCCGCCCGCCTGACCCCCGGGGCACACGGGAAGGCTGCGGTGGACGGGC